TTTTTTTTTTTCCGCAGGGATGTTTGCCAATCAAATGGACTGCACCAGAAATTCTGCTGGGAAACCTCGCCGGACTTTCCACTTTGAGTGATGTGTATGTATCGTGTATATTCTTCCATCACCTTAACGAAATGATCACCCAATATGATTTTTTTTGTGGTTACTTCACATCCAAAATTCACTCGGCACTAACTGTGGAATATTTCTGATATGTTCACCAGGTGGTCCTATGGAATCGTTCTGTATGAGATAGTTACCCTTGGTAAGCCAAACTAACTTCAATAAGAATATTTATAATAAAGGTTTGTCTTTACTTTTTTCCACGCCGTTCACTCCTGAAAATGTCCTTAAACAAGATAATATAGATGGTTTTACATTCTCTTGCCTTAAGTTAGTTTATTAGTGTCCCAGTCTTGTAAGACTGATCAAGCAGTCTAACTACTCTTGTAAAAATGAACCCTATTAATGAGTTCCGGTCGAGTTGTATAACCTCCAGGCAAAAAGTACGACAGTTGTCGTTTTTAGGACAACACCCGTGTTAAGTAAAGATCATCTGCTTTTTACACCTGAAAATCAAATCTCGTTAACTCTGTTTTCTTTTTAATATGTAGCCAGCTATTTATCGATAACTCATCTCATGAAATAAAATGAAACAAGAAGGAGAAGGCTTCCATAGTGTTCACTTGTTAGAGACTATCATCAAAACGAACCAAAACGAAGAAACTTTAAAGTACATTGACTCAGGAAAATTTGTATTTGAGCATCATCAAGCTTTGTAAATGTATATGCAAGATTAAGGAAAATTTAGATTTGGGCATCATCAAGCTATATTAAATGCCAACTTTTTTCTTATTTAAAATGATGTCGAAAAGGAGCGCGACGTCTCAGCCACAGCAATTTCGTGGAGCATGTTTATATGCACTCTTATTTGACCTGATAGATGTTTACAATTGTAATAAACTATTAAAATTATGGCTCACTGACTACAATTTCAACAACTTTATTAGTGACATATTCAGTATTAGTATAATTTCAGAGCTGAGCAAAGAGTTTCCAGCAATCTGATTGGTCGAGCGGTTCCTTATATGACGCTATATAAACCGCTCCACGCGGTTTTAT